CGCAGGCTGCCCCCCCCCCCCCTTTTCTAGCAGGCTGGATCCACCCCTGTGCCACCACAAAAAAATAGAAAATTTCTTAATTTTTGTTATGCCTGTCACTTGAAATCTCCAAATATAAGATATATTTCTTCCTAATTTTGTAAATTTAAGGCATTCAACCATCCCATTACTACTCTGTTAACATTCACCAATAACATTTTATTTTTATTTTCTCCTCATTCTGGATGTTTTTGGCAAAATTATTTGCTAAATAAGAAAAAAAAAATCATTTTATTATTTTCCACCCTCTTGACAATCTTTAAATGATTCTCAGATCTTATGATTGATTTATTTTAATGTCTTGTGGTTTATTGTTGTAGGAATAATGTAAACTTTTTGTTCTACTTATCCAACTTCAATTTCTGATGTTATACTAATCATTGTGATGTATTTTAAATGTCCCTGAATTTGTGAACTAGATCGGGGATCTAAAGATGCAATCTCTACTGTGCATCAGTGGTGATCAGTCATTGAATGAAACAAAAAAATATGACAAGGCATGCAGACTATAGAACACTATATATTTCAATGGCCTATTTTTATTTGTAGCTATGTTTATTCTATGTTACAGTAATGTTTGATTTTCGTCTTTGTTTTATATAGATCCACCATCTGCTTGTGACTTTGTTTGCAATGATGGAACTGACTTGTGTATCCCTAGCTACCAGGTATGTGATTTTGTCAACGACTGCGGCAACAGTGCTGATGAAGTGGATTGTGGTAAGTTTAGGCAGACACATGATTGGTCAATTCAAATTGAAGATACTCACGTAAAGTGGCCGCAAGACCGTCACTAAAACATTAGAATCATTCTATGTGAAGCTCAGTAGGCCAAATTTGTAATGCCATAATAGTACCATTATTATATTTTATGAAGAATATAATTAAAAAGTAAATGCTAAAATGTTGTGATAGGTGTAGGCTTATGACTTCTTTATCATGTTTTTAAAAACTTCATTGACTTTTATTTTGGAGGTTAAAATAATATTATGTATTCTGTTGTTCAGTGAACGTATTTCTTTGTATAGATTACAAGCACCATGTTATCATCCTCATTTTCTTTTCATGTAAGCATATCATTGTTGTGGACAATGATATGCTTACCACCTGTGTTAACACATTTGTAAACCTTTTAAATTCTAGGTCATATATGTACGTTTGAAGTGGACCAGTGCAACTGGGGTCAGAGCAGTGACAGTGAATTCTACTGGCAGAGATACAGAGGTGCTACACCAACAGAGAACACAGGCCCAGCTTACGATCACACTTTGCTAACTGCTTCAGGTAATGGGCTGTGGCTGGATTTGTCAAACTTTCTTTAGCAAAAAAAAAAACCCAGCTGAAATTTGTCTCAAATCCATGATTTATCAATAAATAATCGTTAAAAAATTTTCCTAAATTTGTTGAATGTTTGAAGGAAAATATATTTGTCTTATTGCTTAAATGGCAGGCATACAAGATAAAATTCACCAGAGCGATAAACCCAAAACATTAATTAATTCATTCATTCACCTGTGCATGATAAAAATCCTAAATGATGCATTCTAATACTACATACATTCTTGATGATATCTACTTATTGAATCATTGATCATACAAACACATGAGACTATCACTTCTATATAATTTTGCTTTAATAAGTACCATATGTATTTAAAACAAAAAACAGTAACTCTAAAAGGAAACGACATTCAGAGATTCAACGTTTCGATCTATTTGATCATTATCAAGAAAAAATTAATGTATGTAAACAATTTTAAAATAATTTTCTTATGAAACTGTGTATCTTTTTACAAATTAATAAAGCAATATGATTATTCTTAATTATGATTTCTTAAGTCTATTTCTTGAATACTTACCTGGATAAACCGACTAATTGCCATTGTTCCCAAAACGGAACACCCCTTCGAAATAAAATGGAACAGTCCGACCCAGGGCGCCATGTACGAACCGTCTCCCTAACAATCGTCCTTATTTCCTAGAGATCCAAAAGATCACGGAGAGGGTAGGAAGGGAGGGAAGGTTATCCAGGTAAGTATCTCACTCATAGACTACCAACATCACGATTGATTTGTGTATTTTTAATTTTGATTCCAATAAATTGATTATTCAGGCTGGTACCTGTACGTAGCTGCTGGAAATGGTGCGAGCTCTGCCTACGCCTCCTTGTATGCCCCAGAATACCACAACTCAGCTGCCAGCTGTCAAGCCCAGTTCTGGTATCACATGAAAGGCGACCCCATCGGTACCCTACGCGTCTACTTGGATGAACAATACTATCTTCTAGTTCCATGGCAGATTAGCGGTGATCAAGGTGATAGGTGGAACCTAGCCTCTGCCCCACTTGGAAGAATAACAGGAACATTCAGGGTAAAGTGTACAGACTTTGTTAACCCTTTCCAGTCTACACCTCTACCATGGCATGAGGCTGCACTTTTATTGTGTTCAGCCATTTTTATCTATTTTGAACTTTTACTCAATACACCAGAATGCTACTTATGTTATTGTCCGTATTTGACTGGCCTTTCGTTGTTAAACCAAGCCTGCCTGTGCAGTTGTAAAATCCTATTTAAAGACGACCAAATAAAAAACTGATAAATACTTGCAAAAACAGAAGGGCTGCGTAGTTACCGCGATACGCGCTAGCATAATCAAGGTTGCTGTGGCTTGTGGCAGTATGTGTTTTTCGTTAAAAAAAAGTTTCCATGCAGTTTTTGTATTCTGTTAGCCTACAATTATTTTTTAACTTTATGTGGGTAAATATTATATAATTAATTTCTTCCGAAATTGAATCTAAATTATAATTATACAAATGTTGCTAAGCTGTACCAATCGGCCATGTTTGGTCACATGGATAACTTACTGCAAATTAACACACTTTGTTTACGTTAATTTCCATTGTCAATTTAGCCTATTTTACAAACCAGCTGAATGAAAATAATAATCATTAAAAAATCGTCAACGAAATGAACCAGTCGAATACGGCCATAAAGTCACTAAAATTATGTAGCTCTTGTATGTGTTGACTTGAACTTATCCATTACTTTACAGGTTTGGATCCAAGCTGAGAGGAGCTTTGATACCCTAGGTGATATAGCCATTGATGATATATCATTTTCTAGATGTGCACTTCCAGGTGAGTTGACAAAGAAAAAGGAGGAAATATAAGTGAAGGTGCACTTGAGTGTGTTTGTGGAGAGATCAGTTTCTGACTTACTAAAGTTTTTAATCCATGTAATCTCACAAAGTCATTTAATCATGTGACATCAAGCATCGCTTTACATAATTTTAATTAGTTAATATTGAAACATGAATTCTATCGCATAAATATGTAACTTCCGGTATGACATGAAAAACGGGTGACTCGCCAGAACCACATGTTTTGCTTCATACCTTTAACAAGCAACATGCTTACAAACACCCAGCAAACAAACCAGGCATTTACGCTATAATTAGGTATACCTTAAAGTGGGTAAGAGGTGGGAATGTCATTCCTTCAGTTACTAACATTTATGAGATAGAAGTATTTTCAAACTTCAACTTACAGGTAAGTCTCATTTAATATTTAAATTAAATTGTAACTTATAAACTAAGAATTTTTTTTCAAAACATTGAATTCAATGAAAAGAATTATTATTATTATTGTTTATTATGTGGTTTATTTCAGCCGTTGGTGATGGAACTTGTTCAAGCAATCAATTCCTCTGTACTAGGCAGGCTTGTATTGATGACACTCATGTATGCGATTTCTCAGATGACTGCGGTGACTATTCTGATGAGGCTTCAAGTCTCTGTAGTACGTATTTGATAAATTATGCTATGATTGATTGATTGACTCATACAGTACAATACAATACAACAACATGATAAAACAGAATTCCGAGGATATCACAATTAAGTTAAAACTTATTTCCATTGTGGTCTTCAATATATGCTCGTCAGGAATTTCACTATGTGCACTTCATTTTGTATATTTGTTTTAAGCATTGCATATATATAACAAAAAAGGAAAGCTAGGCTTAAACAGCTGGAAGGATGCTGCAGTAGTGGCCAGGAGGGAGTGGAGGGAAATGATTTATGAGGCCTCAATTTCCCAATGAGAAGCAATTGGTAAGAGGTAATGTAAGAATAAACATAACATTTTGAAAAATATTAAACTATAATTATAAATTATTTTATTTCTTATTTAGCCAATTATGACAGATGTAACTTTGAGCGTGGTTTCTGTGATTGGACACAACTGAAAACCGATGAATTTGATTGGTCAAGAACTAGGGGTGTTTCAGATGATGGCCTCGCCACTGGACCACTCAGAGATCACACAGTTGGAACATCATCTGGTGAGTGCTCCTTCCAAGACTTTTTAAAAGAGGGTTCAACTCAGCAATGGAACAATGGGATTTCAGACCTCTAGAGAAAAATCATGCAAAACATTTAATGATGACATTAAGTAGTTATGAAACTTCCCCATTTATCAAATTTTCAATTTTTGAACCAGGTTTTGCCGATCTCTTCTTATCTTTATTAATTACTGTTTCAGGGTATTTTGTAACATGATTAACAGTGAAGCTAATTAGTTGTGAATTGTTTATAAAAATACAGCACCGTTAAATCAGAAACTATGTTGCAACTTCTAACACAAGTCATTAATTTTTGAAATTCAAAAACATATCTATTGTGATTTTTATTTTAAATTACAACTAAGGTAATAAAAATGCCTAACTTTTATGAACAACAGGTTTTTAAAATTTTCCAGCCTAGTTTTTAAATACTAATACTGGTAATTTATTAACAAATAGCAATGCCTGCTGTGATAATGACTCTTAAGTAGAGGTATTCGTCTTTAATGTTTAATTGGATTATTGAGATAAGAATCTGGCAAAACCTGGTTCGCCAACCTGTCAAAATGCACTTTTAAAGGGTTTGCTGGTAAATGCTTTTTTCACTTTCCTGCAGGTTTTTACCTTTACACCGATGCCAGCTCTCCAAGGGTCAAAGGTGACAGAGCCAAACTTGCCAGTCCTATCTACAAGAGAGTACAAAATCCTGGAAATTGCCATGTGAGAATTTTGCATTATTATACGTTCAATATGAAGAGCTCCTTTTCCATAAAATTTCTGCTAATGTAGGACCTCAAGTTGCTCATAATCGAAATGATAATAAATGAACTGTGTTTGGAAGCTTCCAACAGCATTAAGGCACACAGCCAGAAAATTCAAAATATGATGCACCATAATTGATCAAAATGTTTCAATTCCTGGTCAATTAACTCGCATCACAAAATTTTAGTTTGGGAACAGCGCCAGCCAGTTTCCATTCTTGGTAGTGGTTTGCGTAATCTTGTCTGCTCTTTTTTATGAAGAATTATGTTTAAAGACTTATTAAGGTATGATGGAAATTATTAATGTTTTCTTCTTCAGTTCCGTTTCTGGTTCCATATGTACGGTGAGAACATTGATACCTTGAAT